AGCATAGAAGAACAGTAAAAACTGCTCAGCTGCATGTTTCATTTAGCTACGATGTCAGTAGACACTCGGAGTGTTGTTTTCAGGCTTGTGACAGTGGGCAGAAGATAAATGTGTAGGGTGCAAGGAGCAGTGGCAAGAGGAAAAAGAGCAGAGGCTCTTTGTGTGCACGTGCTAACAAATGTCATGTCTGTCTGAAGTAACTCATCTGCCTTGGTTTCTCTGCTTGTCTTCTGTGTTTTGTCTTATAGGCAGTTTCTGCCTTTGTATCAGAAGCTTGAATGCGTGCTTGTCTTTCCATTGTAAATGGTCTAAATATATTTTCAGATTCTTTCGTGTGTCCTGATACTGCCTGTGAAGCAATTCTCCCTCTTGTACTTGGCACAGCTAGCAACATAGGACTTTTTTTTTTTTTTTTTTTTTTTTTACATTTTTAAAGAACTGACCATTGCTCTTACTCTCCTTCTGCCTTTGTTGCCTTGTGCTAGAATACAATTGGAAGATGAGACATAAGGTCTGTATGTTCCAAGCTGATGCAAGCCAGATACAATGCTTCTAGAAAATCTCTTTGAACTGGTTCTTGTGCCATTCATTTACATCTGTTCAGCTCTCTCTCCAGTTCTCCATACATTGAAATGAAAAGCAGAAAACAGAGATGATGAGATCTGTGCAGTGTCTCAGTGGATTTTTATCTCTGTTCAGCGAAGTTTCATTTTGAATTTGGCTTACTTTAAAAACAAAAAACAAAAATGAAAAACTGCAAAAGAAAGCTAAGCTCTGTTATTTCTGAACCATAGAGAGATTCACACTGAATTTGTAGGGCTTTATGATTCTGAATTGAATTTACAGAAAATGGCAGGAAATTAAAATTAATTGAAACACCTTTTAGTTGTAAAATTTTTAAATGTGTAGTGAATTAAAAATAGTTTTGGTTCATAAGAAATTATCATTACTTTTTAAGGATTTATATTGGAACATATATCTTTTCAAAAGTTCTGGAAAAGATCTGCTTTGTTAATTTATCACATATCTCTTATGTCCTTTCTGTATCTAAAGGGGGACTGCAAGAAGGAAGGGGACAGACTTCAGCAGGCTCTTCTGTGACAGGATAAAGGGAAATGGTTTCACAACAACAACAACAAAAAAGGGAGATTTAGATAGTACGTGAGGAAGAGTTTTTTACAATAAGGGTGTTGAGGCACTGGCACAGTTTGCTCAGAAAGGCGGTGACTGCCCCATCCCTGTTCATTGCAGAAGGTTGCAGATGGCCTTTAAGGGTTCCTTCCAACTCGAAGGATTCTGATTCGTTGATCCTACATCCAGGCAAGAAAAAGGCAACTTTGTCTTCTAACAGTTCTTGATTGCTTTGTTGGTGGGTTTGGCCCATTTCATTTTCTAGATATGAAGATATCCTCCTGGTTAGAGAAAAATTTCATACTTTGCATTTGAAGCCACATGTTATGGGCCCGGTACAGAATAACACAGGATCAAACAGTAGCTGTGTTTCTACTGTTTCCACAGATACTTAATTAGGAAGGAATACAGAGCAGTGAAAATGAGCAGGGAGACAAGTGCAGAACAGGAAAAACATTATTTTATATTTGGCAACAAATGCAAATGAAATAATGCTGAACTACCAACTATGGCAACCATACACTGTTACATAAATGATTAATACAATTTCCTGTCCTGAAGATAGAGAACACCACTCTGAAACTCTTTTTTCTTTAAGGTGGCGTAACGATGCAAACTGATCATCCTGTTCCTGCTGTGCCACAGTTCTGAGCTGTGAAGTCCATTGTTGGAGCTGACCTTTATTTCAACAGCAAAGATAATAACAGCTTGTAGTTCGTGAGTGGGGTGGGGGTCTGTGCAAGCTCAAGCTTGCAAAAGCTTGCTGTGTAAGATTTGTCTAGAGAAACAGCTAATAACCAGTGCTGAACACCAGACATAGGAACTACAGATGAAAGTAATAGCAATAATAAAATACCTTTAGGTAGTTTAAGAAATAAATCAAATTCTAATTCTCTTCCAGCACTGTTGTTCTTGTGCTTTGGAAACAGATACCAAAATATGCAGCTGTTGCAGCAGAAGTTATTTCCTTTTTGTAGCTCTCATTCTTTGAGTCGATTGACTAACATATTCTCAGTGAGAAAAGCTATGAGAAAGAAACATGAGAACCTAAAGCAGCATACAAAGCCAACTGTCTGTCCTGTTCAGGAGCTGGTTCAGCACAGACTGGAAGTGGTTCAGACGTGTTGTTATTTTGTATGTCTTGCTTCACCTTTGGCAAAAATTAGCAGTCTAAACCACACTTTCATAAACAGTGATAGCATTAGCTAGAAAAGAAAAATAGCTGCAGTCTCTTGACTTCTGTTTCCTGAAGGCCTTGCTATACTCTTGAGAGTGCAGTGATGTCATGAGATCCTGCTTCTGTTGAGTATCTTTTTTTCATGTAGCTCTTCTGGGACAAACTATAGCAGAAGAATAAATGTCTGCTAATTAGCAGTCAGCTCCTGTTCTGGCAAGAGTAGGGATGAGTTTTGATGCTTGTTTCAGCTGAAGCTGTGTTATATATTTAGTTCTGCTCTGGAGTCAAGGAGCGGTGAATGATTCCTAAAGAAATATGTGAATAACAGAGGAGCTGCTGGGAAAACAGATCAGCATCTAGTGAGCAACTTGATGTTTGAGAAGAAGGACAAGAAAAGTAATGATCTATCTGAGGCAAGAGTAGAGTGGCCCAGAATTTGTTGATTATATGAAGCTATGAACCCAGATTTGTACTGAAAACATTGCCATTTAATTACTCACTGACCTTGGGCAGTCATTTCTCTTTGATGCTTGCTTTTATTTGCAAAATTCATTGCAGTCTATGCTGTGTATCAAAGCTGGACCACCACGAAAAATACATTAGTGCTATTTTTTTGAAAGAGCCACACGGACATCTTCTTTTACTATCTTGATTTCCATTCAAAGGAGGGCATGGCAGCCATTCTTTCTTTTTGATGCTGTGAAAGTTTAACATTATTGAACTTTTGGGTGTATTCTGCATCTGCAGCTGAATTTTAGTTATTTTTGAAGGTACACCAAGCAATTGGCCAGGGGCGGTTGTAAAGAAAGCATGTGCTTAATATCTGTCATGGCCTACAGTGCCTTAAATTATATTGCTGATACTGAATTGGCTAGAATTACAAGTATTTTCAGTACCAAAAGGCACTGCAATTCTTTTTATACCCATTATTTTATCTACTTCTACAGTTGAGAAGACTCTGAGACTCCTACTATAATACACTCAAAATTACTGCCAGTGAGCTTTTGAAGACCTTCTGTACCTTTTTGTGTCACTGTCCCAAGAAAAACAGCTCTGTTATGACAGAATGTGATTTGCATCAGATGCAAATGTGATTTATGGTTAGAAAGAAATCTAAATAGTAGGGAGTGTGAAAAGGTAACTTCAACAGATATGAGTGGTGTATTGTAATTCATGTCTGCAGGAATTATATGATTCCCACACAACATAGGAGAAATATTATTTTCTACTTGGATCTTCAGCTCAGAATTTTAATGTTAGATATAATGTCTCATAAATACTTTTTTTCTGATAATTCAGTAACAGATCTTATGTATTTCCATCATAGAATCAATAGGGTTGGAAAAGATCTCTAACATCATCTTGTCCAGCTGTCAATCCATCACCATCAATATTGCCCATTAAACCATGTCCCTAAGTACCACATCTACATGTTTCCTGAATGCCTCCAGGGACAGTGACTCTACCACATCCCTGTGCAGCTTGTTCCAGTGCCTGACCATTCTTTTGGATATGACATATTTTTCTAGTATCCAACCTGAACTTCTCCTGCCACAACTTGAGGCCATTACCTCTCATTATAACGCTGGTTATATGGGAGAAGAGGCTGACCCCCACCTCACCACATCCTCCTTTCAGGGAATTGTAGAGAGCAATCAGGTCTCCACTAAGCCTCCTCTTCTCAAGATTAAACAATCCAAGTTTTCTCAGCTGCTCCTCATAAGACCTGTGCTCCAAACTCTTGACAGCTTTGTTACTTTCCTCAGCACATGCTCCAGGGCCTTGATATCTTTCCTGTAGTGAAGTGAACTGAGTACAGTATTTGAGGGGAGAAAATGGTTGTTATTACTGCTGACTGTGCATGTAATAGTCAGCTGGCTAACAGTCCCGATCTACAAAGTGTGAAACTGCTGTGAAATACAGTATCTTGCCGAGTGCTGTAGCTCCTGATGTGTTTCTGGACCATGATGCTGCTCTGAATTTGGCAGTCCTCTGTTGAAGTTGGGCCACTGACTACTAAACAACTGAAGAGGAAGCAAAACTGGAAGACAGTAGGTTTATAGCCTAGAGATGAGAGTATTTGTCTGAATCTGGGAATGATCTGTGTTCATATGCTTACCTCAGTGCTCATCTCTGTACTTTATTCACTGACTTATTAAATGTGTATCACAGAAGTAAGTGTTGCCTGGAAGGGAAGATGTTGCAAATGCAGTAGATTATTGACTTGCATGCTTTGGTGGTCATGGATGGTTTGCCTTTGACATAGAGAGTATGTTTTGGTAGTCAAGCAATACCCCTTCTGAAGCGATTATTACCTAAGTCTGGAATGCAATTAACTGAATAGGAAGAAAAACAGCTGTTAAGATTTAATCAAACAAGTTGTTCCATGCATATTTCTGCACACAACTGAAGACTGAACTGGCACTGAAGGTGATGTGGATGCAAAGAAACATGCAAAGTTCACGAAGAAAATACCTTGTTTTCTGACATTGCATCTTATTTTGTTGTTAACAGTTACTGTATATGATAACTAGCTTGAAGAGAAATTGGAATTTGAGGAGTGGCTTTGGGAACCCCCTTCGTAAAATGACTGTCATGTTTTTCTGCAGTTCTTCTGATGTCTAAAAGAACTAATTTCTTGTTAGAACTGACCTTCTTGTAAGTCAAGAAAGCCTTTGTTAGGTGGTGGTTGGGTGTTTTTTTTTTTTTTCATAGCTTTTTAGTCTTTTTTTTTTCCCCTCAGTAGCTAATTGCATTATATTTGTTTTCCAGTTCTGAAAAGCCTTATATATTCTCTCTGCTCAGATATAATGACCTTGGTTCAGCCTTAGAGTGAGCATAAAGAAGTGTATTCACTAAAGACACCGTGCTCATCAGAGCCATGGTAACTTGTGATTTGTCTATTACAAGTTATAGAGTCACAGATGTTCAAACTACAAAAACATACGAAAATATTTACTGTCTGTATCTTGCTAGAGCTGGAATTCTTTTTCAGACTTTGAAAAGCAGCCTGAAAAAAAGAAAAGCTTAGCACCTTCCTGAAGTCTTTAATTGCATCAAGAACTCTGTACCTCATTCTCAGAGCACTGAGATTTTCTCTGACAACCACATTAGGCAACAGATGGGGAATTTAGATTACTTTGATTCTTGTAATTTGGAATTATTAGATTTTTAGATTTTTTTTCCTCATGGGACATCTGCTGCCTTGCATCATTTGACAAAAAATATATGTCTTGTGAGACTGGGAGAGGGAAGGAATGTTTCCAACAGCCATGAACTGACAAGTTCACTTCTGTTACCCTGGGATTTTGATGATGTCTTATGCTGTAGAATCTGTGGTTGAGCTAATCTTGAGGGAATCTGGACTCTTTACTTCTCTCTAGGGGAATTCAGAGGTGATCTGGCAAGTGAAACTGCAGTCCTTGTATCTGGTGTCAAGTGGACTCCCATGGCAGATATGTTGTTGTACTTGGAGAAAAAGCTTGTTGCTCTGACATCTTATAGAAGACCAGCAGCCACTTCTGGCATGTCACATATTTCTTGCTGTTGAGGCATGACATCCATTCTGCAAGAAAAAAAATATTGTTCATTAAATTATAGAAGTGTAAAAATATTAATTCTTAAATATTTAAGTGCAGAATGATATATGTAAAATTATTACAAGAGCTGCCAGTAGCAAACATCTTTTGTGGCTTCATTGTTCTCCTTTTACTGCTTTGAGAAGAAGCATTTCTGGTTTTGAAAATATTTGAACATTAATGCCATTCCATGGCCTCTCATGAGGTCTGTGCAAATGAGTGGGATGCGAATAGACATTTCCCTGAGATACTGAGGAGCTCAGGTCTGACCAAAGAGCTTCAGGATACACTATAAATAGTGAAGAGCAGCACCAATCACCTCCTATTTACAAAATGGATGCTAGTTTCTGGATATGTAGAGCAGCTTCTTGTGGCAAATGGTGAGCTTGTGTGTTACTGAGAAATGACTTACTGTGATGCAAAGTCCAACAACTTCATGAATACATGGGACAAGGATGATTTATGTTTCATAAACTCTTCACTATAAATTCATTGGCATTCAGATTCTGCAGTGGAGAAGCAGGTAGAAATCCTCACACGCTTTTTTTACTGTGAATACGGGAGCCATTTACTTTCAGTGGAGAGGATTTACTGTTATTGAAAAGGTATGACAAAGAGAAATGTTGTATTCAGTCAAATTACAGAGATTCTAGCAAAATGCTAGTAGACATCTTTAATCAAAAAGCAATTATACTTTCAGAGGAAAATTTCACAGGAAAGTATGAAAGGAAATGAACTATTTTAGATAAAAGACAATGCCTCATCTCTTGATATAATGGGTATTTTTTAAAAGTCTGAACAAACGCAAGAATATGTAATACATGCATGCTCTCACACACGTGGTTCTCCATGCACAAACATTTCCCTCTTTGCTAGAAAATTGAGTATACTGATTTCTGGTAATCCAAGCAGAAGGTAGTTTAAATAGCCTTTGCAAAGTCTTCTTGAAAAATATTTATCCAAATTCACTTTGAAAGTATTTTCTCACTGTTTAAAATAAAGATTGATCACAGACTACAATTAATCTGGTAAAGACCAAAGCTTAAATACAAACCTATTTCTGTTGCCAACTTTTCCTCCCCATTGAATTAATTATGTGAGATCTTATCGTTTGATTTCCCATGGGAAGAGAAATTGTGGGGAAAAAAAATTATATGTATGTTGTCTTGTTTTTTGGGACGATATTTTGACGATATCATGAGAAGAATGCAGCCATAAGGCTGCTTATTCCATCCTAGTTAGTATCTGTGAGTCAGATTTGATGCGCTACATTTTGTTTTGGCTTGCCTAGTAAAAGAAAGGTGCTGTCAAACTGGCAAGTCCAGTGAAAGGTTACCAAATAGTTGGGGAAAAGGAGTATGTGACACTGAAGGAGGAGCTGAGAGAAATGTTTTGGAGGGGGGAAGGAGGAATATAATTTTTGTCTTCGACTCTGTAGTGTTGTTGCAGATGAGAAAAAACATCAAGGTCAGTAGCTGACAGGTTGTCCATGGAGACTGCAAAATAAACAAGTTTGTATGTTCATAGCTTTTTTTAAACATCTTCCTTAAACCCTCATTCTCTCTATTTTTAGTGCTCTGTAGCACTGCAGCTATGGCTGCTTTGAGATTTAACAAAACAAACAAAAGAAAATCACAGAAAACAAAGCAACAGCAACGAAGGAGAGAACAATAATAAGGCTTCAATTTTGGGAAATAAACAGTTTAAAACTGGGAACAAAAGATAAATGCATTAAGATGCTGACAGTTATCATCTGAAGCAAATGAAATTAAGTGAGAAATGCTTTAATGCTTCATCTGGGTGGAAGTAGCACTGGAGGTCTTTATGTGAGTAATTACAGCAGTTGAAGATTTCAGCTGTGCTTGATATTCATCAGATGTTGATATTTTGGTAATACTTTGTATTGTTAAAATCTAACTAACTGGTAGTACTTTGATTAACACAGTCACAAGAATATTTGAAGATAGTATTAACTGATATTTTTTAAAGAGCAGTTGACAACATCATCCCAAGCGCTCTTTAGCTTTTTGATGCTTCTTATAATGCCCTGAAGAAAACACCTACAAGCTCACTATCATTAGTTACTTCCTTTTTAAAAAATATCTGCTCCAGGTTTTAAGGGCCAAGAGGAACAGTTACAATGAATTTGTCCTTCTGAATATCTCAACCCACTGATTGCTGCCCAGGAATTTATCTTGGGAAAGAGTTAAACTTTCTTACTATGCGTGAGCTCTGTCCACAGCTGCTATCTTGGGGCTGATGATTTTTCTGTTGGAAAAACATTCAGTTCAGTTGACTCCAAGGTCAACCACACCCTCTGGTAAACTATTCAGAATGTTTATTCCCTTAATTAGTTTAGCTGATGTTAACTGTGAGTAGAAGTAACCTTTCAAAGAAGTCTGTTCCTGTCTTCCAGTCAGAATTGCAGTTACAAGAAACTGTAGTATCTTCTCCTATCAGTCAGCTGTGGGATTGTTGGATCTACTAGAATCATTTAATTCCTCTTATTCCATTCTTGCTCTTTTCCCTGCTCGATTAAACAGTTTCTTATTTTCATTCTCAAAGCTTTCAGGTAACTTCTAGACCTTTTAAACCTCAGCTTAAACTGAGATCCTGGATTCTTCTCAATCTTTTAGCCTTATTTCCATCTGTCCCATTGCCTCTTCTACTTACTCACATGCCTCAATTCCTTTGCATTTCCATTAGTTTGTTTCCTCCGCTGCAACATAAAAAAGTAGAGCTTTATTCTTCAAATTTTGTATTTTCACCCTAGTAACCTGATGTTGCCTGGAGTAACAATTACACTGTTCTGGTACAATCTTTAGACCAGTTATAGTTCTTATTCTTCTGAACCATTGTAGGGGAACTGTTAGATCTGGGCTTGAGCTGGTGATTGAACACCTGGTGAAGGGCTGTGGCTGACCCAGGGAGCACAGGCAAATTAATTGCATCTGTGCTCCACAGGTGGCCCAAATGGGTGACTCAAAGTGAAGGCACCCTGGGCTTATATAAGGGCTGGCCACTGAAGGGAAAGAATCTTCAGGACATGGCTGCTTTCTTAGGAGTGCTGCATGGCCAGAGCCCCTTCAGCAGTTGGCAGTTTGGTGAGTTCAGTTCTTCTCTGCTGACTTATCTGTGAATAATTTGTCTGATATTGCTAAGAATCTGTCTGAAGCAATTCTGTTTCTTCGTAAGCTGAACAGCCATGAGGACAGGTTTTTGAAGCTTATGGAGTAACTACATCATTACTGTACACCAGTTATCTTTCATATTGTAGAGACTTTGTGAGACTTCTAAGTATGATTTTTTTCTGAATAAACAGGGTGAGCGACTGTCTAAATCATGTTTCATTTTGAGATAAAGCTTTTTCAGGTAACTTTTAGATTTTTTTAAATCTTACAGTTTATGAGTATGGTAGTCAGTGGTATCATATTTACATGATACAGAAACTGTTGTTTTTGTAATGTTTTAGTAACCTAGCTTGTATTTGCAAATAGCCTTCCATAGATATGGTTATTTACTGACTTATTTTTATGTTATTTTTGTGTTTATGTAACTTATATTTAGTTATGGAATAAATTTACAGCTTTAACTAGTAGCTTTTTTTTTAAACTTACAAATATTAAGCATTCCTTAAGCCTCTTTGCAGCCCAGGCTGTATTTTCAAGTTGCTTAAATGTCCCTGTAGACTTCCCTTGTGTAAAGTTGCAGCCACCGAAAAAGCAGATACTTTAAGTTGCAAAAATACACTCCTGAAATTCCACTTAGATTAACAATTAAATGGCTTTCTTTAAGACAAACCAAAGGAAAGCCTTCATATTAAACAGCATTCAGTAGTGAGTGACTCTCAGTGGCCTGCTGCTGGCAGATTTTATGTGACTAGGCTTCTGTACTTAGCTTACTCATCACCTTAAGAGAAGACCATTTACTTTGTTATGTTTTGAAGTTATGTTTGAAGTTCAAGAGCATTTAGTGGAAAAGGAGTATTTTCAGCAATGGAGTAGATGTGTGGTGTTGGGGGGAAAAAACAACCAAATTCTTCTATAGACATTCACCTCACAAGTCAGTTCATGTGTAACTTAAATACAAATTAAAAGAAATCCTTGGATTTAGGATAAATTATTATATAGATTCCTTCATACATATCTGTTTGTGTTAGTTCATGACTGCAAGCTATCTATAAAAGGATGGAATTAAAAGCAATTTCCCAAATATTTCAGTTTTAGTGTGGTATAGTCACCAAAGCAACACCAAGGGAATCCAGCCGTGCCTTCTTTTCCATCGCTGTTGAATAAGTGGAGAAAGTGTAATCACATGTGATAGATGAAAAGCTAAAGGAACTGCATGCATTCACTTCATTTTGAGAAAGTAAATGCCAGGATCCCACTGTCACTGCACTGTAATAAGAATCCTTAATTGATGTTGGGAAGATGGGGACTGAACTCTGTGCCATATTTTACGTTTGTGCATGTCTGCAGACATTTTGAATAGAAATAGTATTTCCACTGCAAACCTTCATTGTGAGTAGCAGGGATTTCTCCTTTGTTTCAAAATTCTTTTCACTTCAAAATCCTTTTGACTTCAAAATGCTTGCCCTTTGCCTACATCCTTATGGCCACATGAGCCAGGGTTAGAGTTGTGGGGTGGTGGTGAGAGCTAGGAGATTAAGGGTAAGTTAAAGTTGATTTTAGTTGAACTGATCTAATCTCTAGAGCCAGTTGAGCTCTTTGAAAATGCAGACAGACATGATTGAGCTGATATTACTTTCTGAAAGAGACTTTTCAGTGGCAGTGATTATTATTGTTTGTGTAATGTGAAAGACACTAGTCAGTAAGTCTAATAGTGCCTCTGTAAACTAGAAGGTAAACATTGTTATGCATTATAATTAGGAACATCCTTGCCAATCAAAATCCAACTTTTTATCTTGGTAGAAATATGAAAGGGAAAGAACTTAGTGACAAAAATAATTTCTTGGAACTTAATTGAATTTCTTCTATTTACTTTCAGCTAAGACATTATGAAATAGCTTGAATTGCATTTTAGTATTGTATCTTAAGCTAACCAAAACGTTGAAAATAGGCAATGAATAGCAACAATCTTTCCAGGGGTACCATGGAAATTTGTGCTAGGAGCAGTTTTATGAAGTAGCTCCTTGATTAAGCAGTCAGAATGCTGATAGTTAAGTGGAATTTGAGGGCATGAAGTGACAAAAATGCTTGTACTAGTTGAAGCAGAAAGATAATAAAAGTACTAAAAAAAAAAAAAGCATGAGGCTACAATATGGGATAATGACATGGTGAATAACCATAAGGTATTTAAATGAGAAGGATCTGAGTGATGCCATGTAAAAGCTCACCTATTCTGGTGGGAAGAGAACCGTGTGAAAATCATTAATAATGGAGATCTAAGATGACGAATATAGTAGGGAACAATGTATTTGTACTTCTGCTTCACAGAGAACCCAATTTGCCAAGCAAAAGCATCTGATTTAGGGAAAGCTCTGTTATATGCCACTGATTAGCAGCTCAGAACAATTTCATCTTAAGAAGAAAAAATTAGGATTTTCAAAAGCTCTGGGGTCAGAGATAGAGAGAGGAATTTAAAACTTAAAAGTACGATTACTACAGAGTCAAGTGTTCCTTCATTTCCTTTTTTAGCTGTGCAGTTTCCAGCTACTGGATTTCATTTTTTGATTTACTCTCCTCTGGAGTGTTGTTTTCCTCCATTACTCCCACACTTACAACTGTGTGGTGCACTAAATAGCAATGGTCTTAACTCAGCTCTTGGTCATCTGCAGATCTTTCCTGAGGCTATTAAGATGGCAGTGATACTAAAGTTTCCTCTAGCCAGAGTACGGCTTTGCTCTTAACTACAGCACATCTATACTGTGTTTGGTATATTAATAATGAAGCAACCTTACCAAGGTGAGATTTGAAGGTGTGGTGTATTTTGTATTAAAAATGAAGTCCTGCCTCACTTGCTTTTGTGATTATAAAGACAGCACTGCTTTTACATGGGCTGCCCAAAACTATCTCCTGAGATCCTGAAACATTTAGTGTAGCACCATAACCAGAATAGTGTTAAACAGCTGCATAGACAAATTTAAACTTAGAGGAAAACAGCTCCCTGGAGACTTGTGTGACTGATTCACTTGAATGAAGGAATAAGTTTCTATGATGCTGTGAATATCCTACATTCGAAGAGTCTCAAAACGACCTATGAGTTCAAATCCTAAATCTAGAAGTTGAATACAGATTTAGGAGGAGAAAAAAGCCAAATAGCAGTAATGAAAATAATTAGTTGACTTTCTCTATTCTTCAAGGAAAAGAATGTCAAAAGTCAATACTGCTAGCTACTGAAAGTTTAACAGAGGTAAATACCAGAGTCTAAGACTGCTCTAGTTGCTCCAAGTAACCTTGTTGTTAGAGCAACAGTTAATTACAGCTGAACTTCAATTAAATGGATCTAATGGCAAATGCTGAGTAGTTTCAGACAGTTAAAGTTTTGCACAAATGATAGAAGTTTCATAATTAATCTATTAAAAGGCTTTTCCTTGTCTGAGGAAACAGATGATCTCAGTATGTTATATTAGATAACTTAGGATCAAAGACTCTAAGGTGAGGCTCAGTGAATGAGAATGCAAGAGACAGGAATGAAGTTTAAGAACTTTGAAAGAAAGGAAAAAAGTATAAGCAACAGCATCAAAAAAGCCCAACAATCATACCCATAGCTTCTTTAAAGCTGTTGTGAATGTATTGAAATTGCTTACTGCAAGTTGAGAATAAACAAGTCAGTAAGTGAAATGCAGAGCTAAGCTATGTAATTCCTTGCCAGGGGCTGTTATAAATGCTGAATGTTCCCTTGTGTTCAAGACTAATTAAATAAATTAATAGAGGAAAAATGTGACTTAGGGCTGTTTAAAAACTGATGCTGAATGTAGTTCAGGAAGTTTCAGAACAAACAGCTGAAAGCTATTTTTCTTCATACTTTTCCTAAGGAGTCTTCCATTTGCTGTTTATGAGCACAGTATACTGAAGCAGACAGACCTTTCATCTGATATTTTATGGTTGGTCTTATTTTCTCATTGAATCTGTTTAACCTAAAGCTGTTACTTTATTTATATCTGGTAATTGGTCCTCATCACTACAGATTTTTCCCCTTAACCTCCCAGAAAGTGTCAGCACATCTCACAGATATGGTTACTGAGTCTGTGTTGTCTGTAAGACAATGGGAGCCCTTTTTTCCCCCCCCACTAAATGATCACGTTAAAAAGAAGGCTTTCTGGGGAGAGTAAAACAGTAAATAAACAAAGATGGTTTTGCTTTAAGATGTGCTTTTTGGCAATACAGGTAGATATTCTCAAAAGCCACCAATCGCTTTTTTGCAAGTTTCTATTTATCTGTATTCCTGACCTACTGAAAATTAGTATAGAATTCTGCATGGGGAACTAGCTCAAAAGATTTGCTGGACTTAGAAGAAGCTGTGCTACAGGTCCTTACTAATGCTTGAAGAACAACATGTTTTGCTTTAAAGAAAATAGCATATCTTTGATGAATGTCTATAGATTCTCATCATGCAAAGAACATTGTTTTCCAGATAAATTTAGATGCATCTGAGGCAGCCCATTTCCTAGGAAAACAAATTTCTTTTCAGTCCTACAAGAGAACACAACTATGCTTTAATCTTTGGCAGAAGTATTTTCACAGTCCTTAGTTTGTTGAACACTTTGTATGTTGATTTTTCATCAATTCCATCTATATTGTTAGAGTGTGAAAAGCTTGGGGCTTGCTGTCACCAGGAGTTTCAAGGAAAAAAAGTCACTGGAAAATTTTCAGGTTAACTCTTGTGGTCTTTCCTGAAATGCTGTGACATAAAACTGGTTTTATAGTCTTAT